AAATATATTTTTATATAAGATTTAAAAATTGATGCTTTTTATCACAGTTAGTAACTTATAAATAGGATCTAGCACAATCAGCTCAAATCAATAAAAACAATTCATGATATTAATAGATTAGTGAATAAATAATAATTAGCTATTAGATTATCATATTTGCGATATATGCCATTTATTTAAAATGCGGGTCCTTAATATTAAACTATAATCCATAATGCGAAATCTAAAATGATTTTATAGCCTTATGATAAACTGTTAGTTCAAATAGTTATTGAACTATGACATAATATAAAACAAAAATAGACAAAATATCAAAATTATTATAAAAGATCATTTATAGAAAGCAATGCTTAAAAAACACGACAAGAGCAGGATTTGAACCTGCGCGGGAAATCCCATGTGCTTTCTAGGCACACGCCTTAACCACTCGGCCATCTTGTCCTAATTACTTTTTTTGGTATATTTATATAAATTAATAAATGTTTACATATAATATATAATTATCTATTACTATAATTTTTACTTATATTAGTAAACCTATTATACCATTAACATCTTATATTATACAAATATTATCTAAACTTTAAAATATTAAAATTATAAAAATATTATATATATTTATTATTTATTATTCACATTTTATTATTATTTATTTACATACAGCTTCTTAACGTATTCAGTATCCTAAAATAAACTATAATACAGGTTAATATATGAACTTATAAACATTAATAGTATATTAAAAAGTAAAGGATCAGGAATCTAGTGGGTAATTGTGTATCAGCACGGTTGCACTAAGTAGCAGAACTGGAAAATTGTTTTTCATCATAAAAACAAGAATAATAAATATAGAATAATGACTAACCTTATTGTTGTAACTAATAATCTTGGTAGAGTTATTTGATACTCAGTATCTCATACCAATTATATCAAATTTGAGCAGTAATTAACTCATTATAATACGGTAGTTGAATAGAAGAGTATCAATAACTATAAATTAATAAATTATGAAGCTAATTTTTTCATTTTATAATATAAATTTAAAAATTGTATTTTATGGGATAATTTTTTAAATTTGATAAAAACTGTTTAAGTTAGATAATATGGGATTTGGAAATGATATCATATTTAGTCAAATAAGACAATAACCATAAAACTGAGAATAATAGATAAATAAAATAGTCTCTGAATTTAATAATTACTATATGTTATAAATATTATCTTTATAAACGTAAAAAGTATTAATTTAATTTCAAACTAAGAAAAAAAATTGAGCTGAGAATTGGTGATATATCAACCCATTTAGTTTATATTAGCGTACAAAGTTAACTCTTTAGTCTGCTAAAGTAGTAAAACTTTCTGCTAAACGTAATCTTTTAATTTATTAGTCTTGCTAGTATAAAAACTCTAATGCAAAACGTTGGCTGAATCAAACCCAATTCCTAATTCTCCATAAATCAATAAATCATCCCATAAAATTAAAGAACAATATAAATATTGATTAATCGGAAGGTGAAGGAGATTAATTTAAAATAAGGAATAAATTTTTAATAAAAAAATATGGATTTAAATGATGAAATTTTAGCATTAATGGGGAACGCCCCAAGTTCAAAGAATAATAATAGTAGTAATAATAATGGCAATAGTAAAAAGTAAACAAAACATATAATTTAATTTAAATTCACTAAATTTTATCTTAAATAGAGCAGAATCCTATTCAAGTAACGATTCTTACGACTATAATAAAAGGGAGAACGCTGAAAGCTCTAGAAAATCTAGAAGGTAAAAAATATTATTTACTATACTAAAGTTGCTTTATTTAATTAATTAAAATTTTGTAGAACTGGAAGATTTACTAGAACTCATGATAGCGACTTAAGCTCTAGTGATAGCGCCGAAAGTGAAGATGAAGCCCCAAGACACACTAAAAAACCTTTAACCAACTTGGATAACGAAGCTCACCTTTATGACTTAGAAGAACAACAGGAAAAAGATAGGGAAAGTGACTTAATTCAGCAAAGATTAGCTCAAGTTAGGAATAATGCTAATTCAACAATGGCAAACCTTCAACAATCTTCAACCGATAGGAGGTCAAATAGGAGAGATACAACAAAGTCACAGAATTTAGATGAACTAAGGAGAAGAAGACATAACAAGTTTCAGGGAAATAGCTACTCTGAGAGGTATGACTATGAAGATGACTATAACGAACCATCTCGCGCTATTCAACCTAGCGATTTGCTCACTATAGATCAAGCTCGCTCTATTCAATTAACTCGTACATTAATCTGTGACTACTCCAAAAGAAAAAACTTTAAGGAGAAGATTATAGATGCATTTGTTAGAATTAATGTTAGTCCAGGCGAATACTGTTCAGATAATGAGGGTTATTGCTTAGGTAAAATCACAGAGGTTACAATTGCAGAATCTGGAAATGATGGAGCTCACACTCATACCAACTCTAGAAAGTATAATGTAGTTTTAGAATTTTTACCCTCTGGACCATGACCATCCCAATCGATACAGTATCTAACTCTAAATGTGGAGCTAAAGAAGTTGAACTTTATGCTCAAGAGCTTCTCAATCAAGGAGTTGCGACTTTTGATATTGCTTATATTGTAGATAACTTAAGGGATTTGGAAGAATCTGAGCAAGTTAATATAAATGATTATAACACCGACTCTCAAATCGCTGCTGCATCGGATGAAGCAACTAAATTTGCTGATTTTTGTAGAGATCCAAAAATCTACACCCAAGTAGTTAATGGAACTTATACATTTACCAATATACAAAGTGAAATAGAGTACTGTTATAATCAAACTCTCTCATTAAGATTTAAAATTCAAAATGCTAGCAATAGTATTGGAGACCCCCAAAAAAGGAATGCTATTCTCAACTCCTATAAAGTTAAAAACTTCTTTTGGACTAAAAAGCATGACGATGCTAAAATTAAACTTCAGCGCAGTCAAAATGGGAATGAAATAGAACAAAAAACAATGACTGCACCCGTATTCACTAGTGAAGAGCTGAATACTAAATTATACACTTCTACCTATGATAAAAAAGTATTCGACTATAACTCTCGCTTCCCACCAAGTAAACACGATAATAATAAGAGGTCAGCCCTAAATTTCTTGGATGACTTTTGCGATAATAATCATGGAATTTTATCAAATCATCTCAGCTCATCAGAATCAATTTATCATCACCCAAGCGACTTCCAATTAGCCATTTTAAAAACCAAGGACGATTATAAAACTAGCTCGCTATCAAAATATTAAATTTGTAAAAAAAACTGTAATTCCTACTTGATTTTAGCTAATCCAAATATTTGTTTACAAAAAAGAAGTATAATTAAAAAATATTGAATAAACCATAACTTCGCATTAATACTGTTAACAGCTTATTCACAATTTAAGTAATAATTCTGTATACTTTTATAAATTTAACTTTGCTTAAATACAATCCAACTCTTAGCTACCTAAACCTCATATATTATCTTAATAATTGGTAACTGACTCTTAGCAAATACCTAATAAATTATAACCCTATAAAAATATTTTCTACAATACTAGCAAATAATCCTATTTGACCTTTGAATAATTCATTGATATATGCATGAGATAAATATGAATATATTAGATATTATTCATTCCAAAACTAACTTATAAATAGAAATGCTGAGCGATAAAAATAAGAAAATAGGGTAACCCAATTCAGAATAAAAGTCACTTTAACTTTCCTCAAAATACTTCAATTTTTCAGAAAAATTTTGCTTCAAAGTACTCAGTAAAAACCCAATAACCTCTATAATATCTGTGTTAACAAAAATATTGAAAAGAATTATTTAGATTTATTAAAAAAATGATAAAAATTTACATATTTACAAGTTATAAGCAAATTAAAAGAGCTTGCAATATTGACGTTATTTGTAGTGATTAATCAGTGCTTATTACTTTTAACTCAGTTAAAGACTGAAGTTTATAAAAAGCAATCTACTACAGAGCTCTTAAATTCGGGATAAAAAATATTTAACATGTGAAAAATAACTAACCCAATAAGGATTCCAGAGCTGGTGAGTGTTGGTAAAAGCATATAATTTTTGAATAATAGTATATAGCCCATTTTAACATCTGGCTGAGTAATTTGCTGTAACTTCAAGTGCTCCTCTGCTTGCAACTGGAATGAGTCCAATTCAGTGTGAAAAACTTTTGAGATTATCTTGACATTGTTGCCATAATATACCGATTTTAGATTATCAGCAGCATATTCCATTAATTCATCTGAATGAGTGGCGGAGCCTCTTTCACGAAGTCTTTTAATAGTATTTATCACTAATTAAAAATTTAATAAATAATGGCAATATATATACTATTCGGCTTACTGTGTATTTCATTCTTCTCGGATATCTCTAGCTGTTTTTCTAACTCTTTGTACTTCTTCATTAAGCCTGAATTAGATGAATCTGACTGGACATCCATTGAAGATAAGAATCTCTTTGTGGAATGAAATGAGGAAGAGTTAGATCTTTGTCTAAGAAGCAGTCCTGGAGAATAGTTAAAATGCTGTTTAAATATTGAGTTTTCTTGAAGAAATTGCGCCGATTTATCTGCACTCTCATCAGGATTACTAGTCAAATTGACAGTATTTTGAGTATTTCTATGGTTGATAGGTGGCGCCATGGCGCAAAAGCTTGAATCTCGGATTTCATCTGCCAATGATAACATTGATGGAGAATGTAGTGCATTCATTTTTTGCGCCTTTGCGCTTTCTACTTGCTCTTCTAAATAGGAAATTCTATCTTCGTAAGCTTTCTTTTGGTTCTTTAATTCTGCCAACTTTTCATTTAAGAGGTTTAAAGCATCATTTGGATTTATTGAATCAAGAGTGCTATGTATATTGGATAACTTATTATGCAAGGCCTTTAGTCCATTAAGTTGAGTTAGCGCACTATCAGTTCTAGCCTTTTGATCATTGTAAATTTCGTTTAAATCGTTTAACTTTTGTTCCATATTCTTTAAAACAATCTCCTTCATAGATTGGCTATTAAGAGAGCTAAGCTCTTTTTTCTCTGCCAAGTCGTTCATTTGCTGACTTTCGAGTCTCAGAAGCTTTTCATTAAAAGACATTTCTTCCAGTTTATTTTCCCTCATATCATCTAGTGTATCAATAAGAGCAATATAAGTATTTTCCAACTCAGATTCCTTATCCTCTAGCTCATGAATTTTTAACTCTGACTTCTGTAGCGTATCTTCGTAACGTCTATAAAACTGGTTATAGCGAGAGTTACTACCTATAAACGAAGAATTACTCGCATTATCTGAAAATTGAGTAAATTCAGAAACTGGAGAAGGATTAAAATCATCTCTTAAATTATTAAAGTGACTACTCATAACTAATTTATGTATAATGATTTAAACTTGGTTTATTAATTTACTATT